GTTTTGACTTTGACCTGTTTAGGTCTCGTGGGTGTTTTGACTCTGACTTGTCTCGATCTCGTGAGTGTTCTGACTCTGACTTGTCTCCATCTCGTGAGTGTTTTGACTCTGACTTGTCTTAGCCTTGTGGGTGTATTGCATTTTGGTCAGCTGACACACACTCTCCTCCACACACATACACACACACAGGATCAAATCTGACAAAGAGAGAATAAATCCTCCCCGATACTAACTGATACTAACAAATCTCAAAAGCATCAGTAGCTCTGACTTTCCAATTTCCGTGGCTGTGGTTTAGGCTAAGCTAGCCGACAGACCAGTGTTACTGCAATAATAAGCCCCACCCACACAGATCCGCTTGTGTGTGTGTTTGTATGACTATGTGTGTGAGAGGTCAAGGTAATTTGTGCTGTCATGTCTCTATGCGTGGATGCACATCTGTGTGTTGTTTTGTGTCTGTGTCGTGCAGTCTTTGTACCAAAGACAACAGCAGCACTGACTCCTTTCGCAGTGTGTAGAAAAAAGAAACTTCTCATGAACACACACAGTGACAAAAACTAGGGACAAGTAGAAAGGTGCACTCAGTAGAGTGTAGATCTCCTCCAGGTGTGTCTGCTCAGCAGTGGCGGTGATGCAGTCAGCAGTGTGTTTTTCGTTACCTGTTGGCTGTGGCGATGCAGTCAGCGGTTTTGTGTAGTTATTTTCGCTGATAGCCAAACACACCATCCAAAACAATAAAAGTGAGCAAAGTGTTTTCCCCCACTGTGACTGTGTTCAAAATCACACACTAACATACTATTATATTATGTCACACTAAGTATGAGGTAAAATTGTTTGTGTAGAGCACTCGCACTTATGTGGATTTTGTGTACGCGAGAAATGCCCAGATGTATAATACATTGGCAAGAATTTCTTTGTATGTGACGTGAGCTTACTGTGCAAACTCAACTGCCCTACAATGCATTGCGTTGGGGGGCCTTGAGACTGGCCGTCAGTTTTGCGATTTCAAGCAAGGCTCACAGTTGTTAATATGTCACTTTATTAAGTGTTAATATGTTACGAGGAGGTAGACGTTTCGATTTCCAATATGTGGTCAGATTACCCAAATATTGCTTGTTTGGAAATTTGCTGCGTCGTTTTCAGAGATGTGACCAGGCTGATGGCAGGCTGATGGCGGGCTGATGGTGGGGTGCCTTGCTCGACCATCGCTTGAGTATACCTCATTGTGAACGCTGCTTCGGACATTTGATTCTCAATAGCATTAAGCATGCTAGTATAGCCTGGTTTTCTACTCCAGAGTAGGGTCTCATATCCGCGGCTATAAATATACCTTTAGCCCTGTTTGAATCAGTAGGGAACAGCTGCCTAAACGCTGCAGGGAGGATTGGTAGCGTGTGTGCTGCTGTTGGTTTTCCTGCTAAGCTAGTTGCACGTTGTCTGTTACGTCGGGTGGGTTGCCATGTTGAGCGCATTATATTTCCCACAATTTAAGCTTCTGCATTTTCCAAATGCAATAGTATGATTCAAACGTATTATTCGGTTCGTAACCACGAGCTGTTCAATATTCACGAATACGTGTATTGTTACACCCCTAATATATATATATATATATATATATATATATATACTGTAGTTTCGTACAGCAGTGTGCGAGATTAACGGTGGACAGACGCAGATGCACACTCATGCAGTCAATCTTATTATTTCCTGGCGGAGATAATAACAAAGGAAGAAGTAGGGACATAACGGAGTGAAGGAAGGAAAGTAGGAAAAAGCAGAGTTTGACCATCAGGCACAGATTTCCTCTTTATAGACATCATGTGTACCATCATGACCAATAGTAACCTTTTAAAACCAGTGGAAAGTCCTGCTGGTGTCCCATAGTAGTATATTGAGGCTCCAGTGTTTGTAAATCAGCTCATGGGTTCTTTGAGGATGAATTCCCAAGCAACGAAATGCATCTTTGCTCAGTTCAGCACATTCAGGGATTCTGCTGCTGCGGCATTACTTGTTCTGTTATGACCAGAAGCTTATGTCGGCTACTGTTGGTAAAATGCTGCTGATGAGGACCCTAAGGTACGGCTAAAAGTTCATAAAAGCTAGGAAGTGGTCATTGACTTGAGACTCGCGATTGACATGAACTCCCATGCTCAAATGTTCTTTGCTGACATGATGACTTAATGTCCATCCGTCACTTGTGGCACAGGTTTTTTACACAAAAGTAAAACAAGAAGTAAAACTCACCATAGCTCACCAGGAGGCATGGTTCCTGTTTGCTTGCTTATTATCACATTCCACTAAAATCAAGCTGATGATTTTAGTGCAACTGGTTCAAGAGAACCTTGGAAAATGAGGAGGAATTCAAAGATGGTGCTCTGGATACGCACTATTTACTATATCTTGCACTGTAACGTAGAGTGGCTGAGACTTTAGAAACGTACATGGCATGTTCAATACTTTTCCTAACGATGCAAAGTGAGATATTTTGTAGACAGTGACTGACTGTCTATTTTGACATCTTTGCATATAAAACCTAGATCATTTGTATTATTTGCCTTCATACACAAAGCCCTCCCATAAAAGGTGGTGCTATTTTTTTTACCTATTATTTTTAATACACACTGCAATTGTCAGGAAAACCACAACATGTCATCATTAGTTCTACTGTGTAGCTGAAACGGCGACGCCTGCTGAACGTTGATGTGGAAAGCTTCACGCAGAACTATGCTCCGTTGAATTCGGGCTGGTTTTGGTCCTGGTTTGAAGGCGATCATTCGACAATTTGGGAAATAAGTAGATCGATACCAGTAGGCCTTTTCCACAGCAGACATTTTGACTAACGTCACAGCATCAAAAGCATAATGTGTTAATGGTATTCAATCGGCATTCATTTGATTATTTACACCCGCGCTTTCCCTCCTGTCACGTCTTTTTATTCTAAAACCTAACTAACCAAATCAGCCCCCCCAGAACAGTAGGTGTTGAGGTATGGTGTTTTCAATACAAGCAACCAACATTAACATCCTTCAGCAGGGCAGAAATAATGTGTGTGTGAGCTTTATTGACACGGTTTGTAACTTTCTGCTGCTGCTCTTCACACTCATTACTTGGGAGTACACACACACACACACACGCACGCACGCACGCACTCACGCACATACATACATACATGCACACACACGCACACACATACACGCACACACGCACACACACTTCCTGTTGTTGTCTGTGAAACCTCAACTGAGAGTTAACCCTTTAACACACACACACATAAACAAGCACACAGATTACTCTCAATACTTTTAATTCGGAAGGTAAAACAGAGCAAGGAAAGGAAGGTAGGAAGGTAGAAAGGAGAGAAGGGTGTGAATGAGGGAAGGTCAGTAAAAAGAAAGACATTGGGAACGAGGGGAAAGGAAACATGTCACCAACACACAGACTCTGTCTCCGTCTCATCCAGGGAGGTAAACCGGACCTGAACACAGCCCTGCCAATCAGACAGACGGCATCCATCTTTAAACAGCCCGTTACCAAGGTTACGAGTCACCCCGGCAACAAGGTGAAGGCAGACCTGCAGAGAGCTAGTGAGCAGCCCAGACAGGTGAGAGGCTGACACACACACACACACACACACACACACACATTCTGGTGTCGCCATGGTAATGCCCGAGGCGAGGTCAGGCTGTTACGTAAGAGACGGTGGGGGAAAAGCAGGTTGTCATGGTGACTGGGGCCACTAGAGGGTGCTGAGGTGTCGTGGGAAAAGCAGCGCGGCTCTCACACAGTGTGTTTGGCAGAGGGAATGAAGGATGGTGGGATGACTGGCAGAGAAGGAGGGATGAAAGTGTGGAATAGGAGGAAAGAACAATGAGAAGAGAGAGAAGATAGAAGGAGAGAAGGAAGCGTAGTGGAGAATCTTTTATGTGTTGCCTTTAATTCAAGTGCAGTTAATAGTGTACTAATGTAGTTTTTAACAGAGCAGTGTAGTACACGTAGTAAGGCTGTTACTTTTGAAGAGTATCAAGTGGAAAACTTTCAATCTTCCCACCCAAACTTTGTGTCATTTCCCCTCAGTCACCCCGACTGCACCGGCAAATGAATGGAGCAAAACGTTCCATGACTGTATCACGTACATAAACCTGACTAAGGGGCCGATCAGGTAGCGTCGCTAAAAACGCGTCACCTGTAAAAAAAAATTTTTTCTTATGGCGTCTGCCGTGCGCTCCTTTCTTCCGCCAAGTGCCGCGTTTTTCGGACAGTTTTTTGAAAAAGTTCAAATTTTCTTAACTCTTTAGCGTCTCTGGTCAATGTCACATTCGCCCGAGGCTGCCAATCAAATCAAGCAAGAAGTTTTACTACTTTACCACTGTCTTCCTGTTTTGATGCCGGTAGATGTGGTTGGAACGGACGTTGACATTAGCGATAGTTAATGTCAATGAACTATATAATTTTCCCCTCCTCCTCCTCAACCAACAGCAAAGCAGCAGCAAGAGCTCCATGTCTGCATTGAATCATCTTCTCCCCGAGAGAATCTCCACTGGCTCATCAGCTGTTTTGCCCGACTTGCTCTTCCATAGGGGCGTTTTTGAATTGTCCGCACCTGTTGCGACGCGTCTCGCTGTGATCTGCCCCTTAGAGGGTTTTGTTGGCTAAACTTAACTTCCTGTAATGACGGAAGTTTATTTTGAAAAGACGCTTTGAGTTATAACAAGCGTATACTCACATGCTGTCACTGACACGAAGGGTACGAAGAGTCGTAGTTTGAGGTTTATTGCCGCCGACCAAGCTGCGTTATTTGATGCGTTGGTGTGAGAATGTGTTGAGTATATTATGTAACTTTAAATAGTAACATCAGTCAATGGTTGCCTCTATTTAGGGGGCGGGAGTTAAAATGAGGCGTCCTCAACATTTTATGGTGTGTTATGGTTACAGAATGATGAAGCTATAAAGAGGGATATGGAGATTTCAGGGGTCAAACAAACACAGGACTTTCACACAGGAGACCGTTGTTTTTGTCCTAAGTGAAACCAAGTCAACGTTGACTTATTAAGCCCATTCACAAAACATACTTATTTTAACCCAAACTACGATCTTTTCCTAAACCTTCTTTGTAGACTTAAACTAGGTAATCCAACTTTGAAGTTTATTATGAAAAAAACACTATGTATGTACACCGCCCCTGACCCGTCTCAAGCTAACGCTAGAGGGGAACCTAGAGCGTCACAGTTTGTAGCATATGGCCACACATGCAGACCCCAGCTGACCAATCACAGAGCTTGTTATTCCCACATCTCTATAACTGCTGTTGCCTGAACACGTCGTTGCGTTTCTGAGGAGGCATATTTCAGCTACACTGTCGAGTAACATCCGAGTGGTTGTTCTCACGTTAGAGTTCCTGTAAGTAGTATAATATGTAGTATATTGTTGGGTTGACTCTGTAAGATTGTCAGTAAAGGTGTTGTGGTTTTATTTGACTCCTGTTCATCCTTGCATCATTCACTTAATACTGATCCACTGAAAAAACTTTCTATAGCTGCTTCACAGTAAAAGCCTTCAAGTGGTTACCATTGAAAAAAGCTGTTAATGTGAAGCAGCGGCAGGAAGTGTTTGGTTGGCATTAACAGAGTCTGAACACGGCAGCAGACTCGGAGCATGGAGCCGATCAGAAAACAATGAAGGGAACTAAACTGAAACTGCAGAGATCCGAACGGCCCGCTGCAGACTCTCAACTCTGTCTGCCGTCTGTCTGCCTGCAGCTGTTCTGGGAGAGGAGGTTGAAAGGCCTGCACTCATCAGACGTCACAGAGGAAGTCCTGCGGACCATGGACCTGCCCAAAGGCCTGCAGAGTAAGTCTCCACCATGGACCTGAACACGCACCGTGCTCCAGTCCCGACCTCTGACCTCTGAGTTTTCCTTCTCTCTCTCTCTCTGCAGGCGTCGGGCCGGACTCCAGCAATCACACTCTGCTGTCGGCCATCGCCAGCGCCCTGCACATGAGCTCCACTCCGATAACGGGACAGACGACTGTGGCTGCCGAGAAGAACCCGGCCATCTGGCTCAACACGTCCCAACCGCTCTGCAGGGCCTTCACCATCACCGACGAACAGATACGGTGAGAGACACCGTCTTCATCTTGTCCCATACTCGTTCTTATTCCCACTGTCCGACAGGTAGCAAAGTGTAGAGACACACTGCTCATAGATGCAATGAAGGTTTGTGTCCGATTGCGCCAACATGAGTCGAAATTTGTACTTCTTGGAGTCAGTCAAATTTGAACACAGACATGATGCACATATCTATATATTCAGTCTGACTCACACTTTTAGGGGATATTTCAGATAGCTTTCACGAATCAACACTCATCACGAATCATCAGGTTTTTAGGTTTTCTTCAGTAGTCCCGCTGCACATCTTTCTTTTTTGTACATGAAAGAACAGGCTGTACGTCTTTTGTTGTTTTCTCTTTAATTCATACAGCAGGAACTATGTTACATTCTTATTGTGAAACTTGAACCTTTGCGAGCTGTATTATGATCGGGGGAAATCTTCACCGATAAGATGCTGTTTCATGCTGATACATTTCATCGCATTGCATCAGGTGTCTTTGGAGCTCACAGTTTCGTAAACGTTTGAGCTGTTAAAGTGAGACTATGTAACTTTTGAATGAAGAATGAATAATATATATATATTTTTTGATCATTTATTTTTTTTATTATTTTTGGACAGTAGTTTAGGTTTTCAAGTTTACGTTCGCACCAGCATATATGGTGTCCACAGTTTTTCAAAGTTAGGTAACTTTGTACAATTTGGGAGAGTGTACACATAAACACAAAAAAAAAAAAAAAACATCAGACAGGGGGACTTGAGAGAGAATGTGATACAGGTCGATGATGCTTGCTAAGCTAAATCAACGTTACAGGGTCATTCATTCACTATTCCACAAAATCTGTTTGTAATGGTTTTACGTATCTCACCCACTTGTCCCAGAGTTGAATAAACCTGTTTCTCTGAAGGCGAAGGGAAAAAGTGATCCTTTCCATAACATAGATGTTGTTTACTATATCTATCCACTCCTGTATCGTGGGGGCTCAGGAAGCAAGCCTTGTGAGTGCTTTTTTACAAGCCGTTATTATAATGCCAAACAGGTATTCATCTGGACGCCCTGTTTGGAAATCAAATTTTCCTAAGAATAATGTGGAAAATTGCAGGGGCAGGTCAGTGTTAAGTGTGCTTTTTAATGTTTTACGAAACTCTGCCCAAAAAGGTTGTATCACTGGACACTCCCAGAATACATGCCAGTGATTTGCTTCCGGAGCCCCACATCGTCTCCAACATGTAGCATCTCCTCCAGCGAAGCGCGCCTTCTGCTTTGGTGTGATAAAGAAACGAATAACACACTTCCACGCAAATTCCCGCCACACGTGAGAATTGGTGCATTTCCATTGAAATTTACACACATCTAACCAGTCCTCGTTTGATATTGAGAGGTTACCTTCTCTTTCCCATTTTTCCTTAACATATCCTACATTGTGCGACTTTTTTGTCATAAGGCCTTTGTAGGATCTAAAGATAATTCCCTTATTTGAATCATTTTGGTAGGCACTGAGAAATCTTCTCAATATTGGGTCATCGAGGTCTGTTGTATTTCTAATGTTATGTTCAAAATGGTTGCGTATCTGGAGGTATCTATAAAAATCCGATTTTTCAAGAGAATATTTTTTCCTCAGGTGTTCAAAGTCCTTTAGTTGTCCCTTTTCTGTCAGAGAATAGAATGTTGTTGTACCTTTTGGGATCCAGGATTTAAATCTATGGTCCATTTCATTTGGTTTGAATCCCGGATCATAGGCACACCATTGAAGTATTTGTAGTTTTTGATCTAGTTTATATTTTCCTTTTATCACATTCCAGATTTTTAAATGGAATTTGATCCATGGATTTTGTAAATTGTCTATAAGTTTTCCCAAGTTTTTATGGGCCAATACTGCATGAATTGGGGGATCATTCATAATAGAGAGTTCAATATCTTTCCACCCGGCACAATAAGCTGGGGTACATGTGGATAACAGAGATCACTGCCTCGCTCCAAGGTGGAGGCATTTTTTCATCTTTTAAAGTTATATTGCAGGCCCTAAGAAGGCTTGGTAATAGCTCAAATCGAAATGCCTTGTACCATTCTGAAGGGAGGCCATCTGGACCGGGTGACTTATTGGCTTTACGCCTGGAGATGGCGCTGTTTAGATCTGTCTCTGTTACCGCTGCAGTTAATATCTGATTTAGTTCTTCTGATGAAACAGGGAGGCTGAGGGATTTGAGGAATTCGCTAATTTGTTGCTCGCACTCTAGTTGTGGTTGTGTATATAGAGATTTGTAGTACTTTTTAAAGGCATTTTGTAATTCATCTTGCTTATAATGTATAGTTTTAGAAACCGGATCCCTTATTTTGTATATTGTGTTATCCGCTCGTTGTTTCTGCAGCTTTCTCGCCAGAAGTTTTGTTGATTTTGAGCCTGACTCATAATATTTCTGTTTTGTAAATATCATATTTTTTTCAATTTCCTGTGAGTACAATAGATTTATATCGTTCCTAACTTTCTTAATTTTTGTCGATAAATTCGTCTTTTGTTCTCTTTTATGCTGCGTCTCGAGATCCTTTAATTCTTTATTAAGGTTTAGTAGTCGTGATTGTTTTTCTTTCATCTCATGGGCACAGAAAGATATGATTCTCCCCCTGATGACTGCTTTTAAGGCGTCCGATACTATAGCTGAGTCAACCTCCCCGTTATCATTTTCTTCCAGAAACACTTTTATTTCCTCTCTCATTTGGGTCTTAAATTGCAGGTTGTTTAAGATACTTGTGTTTAACCTCCACAGTGTTTTTCCTACCTTATCGCTAACATGTACCGTGCAGGACAGAGGTGCATGATCAGATAAATTAATACTTCCAATATCACAGCTATGCATTCTATGGTGATCTCTCTTTAACACAAAGAAATAGTCTATCCTTGAGTATGTATCATGGGGGCATGAGTAAAATGTATAATCACGGCCTGATGGGTAAAAATCTCTCCATAGGTCTAATATGCCCAGTTCTGCCATTAAAACATTAATTTTTCTATGCAACGATGTAGTGGTGACATTTTTTGATGAATCTAGTTTTGGATTAAGACAGATGTTCCAATCTCCACCACATATGACAATTCCTGGGGCCCCTATCATTAAATCAAATGCCTTTCTGTGAAAACCAAAATCACTTCCAGGGGGGGCATAAATGTTGCATAAAGTTATTGTAACGCCATCTATTTTTCCAGAGACTATTGTATATCTCCCCTCCTTGTCTGTTACCTTTTGAAAATAAGTCAAATGATACCTTTTGTGATATTAAAATTGCTACGCCTCTCCTACGGCCTGATTTATAAGATGAATAATATACCATTGAAAACCCCATACTCTTTAATTTTTCATGTTCTGATGGGGTGAGGTGTGTCTCTTGCAAGAGCACAACATTTGCCTTTTCCTTTTTCATTTTTGACAGTATTTTACCTCTCTTAGCTGGGTTTAAAATCCCTTTCACATTAAATGAAATGACCTTAAGGACGTTTTTATTCATAGTTTCAAACATCGATAATCACAGATGGGACCTCTCCCAATATCCCTAATAACATAAAAGTTGTACACTGAAAACATCTCTCCCAAAAAACAAACATAAAACAAAGAACACGAAACAGCTTTTAACAGAAAATCACCGAAACGGTTTAGAGTAGCTGTTTCTGATATAGAGGCTCGTTTCAAATGAGCCTTAGAGGACTTTATAAAGTCAAAGCCCCCATAAGGGAAAGTCCCACGTAGCGTCAGAGGTGGGGCCCTAGAGTGTGGCCGCATATTAGCCAAAATCCACACAAAGTAAAATAAAATAAACCATGGATAACGAGCCAATTAACAAGTCCCGACTGCTTTAATTAACCAGAACATTAACCTGTAGGAGTAGTTGCCTCTTTAGAAGGCCAAGGCAGTCCTTCGGACAAATAATTAAAGTAATTTTCACTCGGAAGTCGATTACAACTTATCTGCATTTTTGTGAAGAATCATCGGTGTCCTGTCGTGGGGGATCGCCTTCTGAATTCCTGGAGTTTATCCTTATCGATAATGTATCGAGAGTGGTGGGGTTTTTCATGTTGTGTGTAGCCGTCCGCCGCACCGGGTTCCTGGTCGTCACTCCGGTCTTGCCGTCTCCCGGCCGCCTGCCAGGTAGACAGGAGCCGGATCTCCTCTTGGTCTGGAGGGGCGGGGGACCTCACCACCGTCACTAGGAATCCTCGTGAGGTCATGTCTCTCGTCGCTTCTGCAGCATCCTGGAACAGCCGTGTGCCATTATCGTAGAAGACGGTGTCTGGAACTTGATTTGTTTTTCTTTCAGGATTTTTTTGGCTTCAGCGTATTCATCGCGTTTCTTCAGCACTTCGGGGGGGGAAGTCATGGTCAACATAGAAGCGAGCATTGTTGTAAGAGA